CTGCGCCTGTGGAACCCGAACCCGAGTCTGCAGAGTCAGTGTGTGTCCTAGCTGAGACAATCTGAGAGAGATTTTCTTTTTTTTTTTAATATGAATTCTTGTGCCATCAAAGACAAGGATGATAGCGGACAAGGGCTGGCAGACAAGCATGCGGAGAGTTTTGACACAACCGCCACAATAGCACATTAATAACAGCACTAAACACCCCTCACTGGTGTTCTTCACATCCCACCACCAGCCAGCTGGCTAAAATCTGTGCCACACAAAAGGCACCAGTAGCAATTACACCCTGTGGGCACTTGTTGGCTTCGATGCCACCCTCCTTTTTAAGAGGATGCCAGGCCCTTCCTAATGCCAGGTTGGGCTGTTTCTGTGTCTCTATTTTGCAATGACTTCTCAAAACAAGTCTAGTAAATGAGGCAGGAGGGGAGGCCAGGGCAGGAAAGGCTGCAGGGCCCTGCCAAGCCAATTAGCTGAGGGGTCCACAGAGAGCTCCATTCTGGGATGCAGGGGAAAGGTCCCCATGGAGTGATGCAGGGCCAAGCACAGTGGGAGTCTGGCTGGCTGCAGCAAGCTCAGGCTCTTGTCCCTGCTCCCTCAAGAAATTTCTTCTCTCGGCCCACTGAATGTGTAAAAACAACTTCGGGAGATGGAAACACCATCCCCCTGGCCACCATGTGTCTGCACAGACATCTTGTGTCAATGCAGTGATGTGAAACAGCAGGAAGGAGAAGCCGGAGGCTGAGGCAGGCAGGGAGCCAGCAGGATAAGGCAGGGTCCCTGTAGGAAAGGAAAGGCTCAAGCATTTTACCCACATGCCACAAACTTGGTACCACGGCGTTCATCCAGTGCCACCAAGCCCTCAGCATCCTTTGGACCCACCAGCAGGAGGGGAACACATGCTGGGGTAGTCACAGCAGGACAGAGGTTCTGTGACTCTCTCCAGATGTGAGGACCCAGGCGCTGTCCCGTGTGTGCCCTGCACTGCCCAGATCAAGGCCCAGCACCCTCTCAGTCCTTGTTCCCAGGGTCCCCATCCCTCTCACCCACCCGGCTGGCCCAGGAGGTGTGCAGTTCCCTGCAGTCTGCAGGGCTGTGCTCACTGCTTGCGTGTGGCGTGGAGCCACCAGAGCGCACGGATGTCCCAGCTCTGCCATCATGCAGGGAGCTGTGCAGAGCTGCCGGGAGCCCAGTGACAAGCGCATGTTTTATGGATGGGGCTTGAGGCCATGCGGCAGCAGGGACGTCTCCAGCAGCAGAGCTCTGCCTCAACCAGCCTGGTCCCTTCTCTATCCTTGTCCCCTTTCAGCGGGGACTTTGGGGAGGTTCAGAGAAGTCCAAGCTCTCCGCTCCCTCTTCCCGAGGTCTGCGGAGGTTCAGACCCCTGAGGATGGAAAAGCCGGTCCCACGGAGGGGCAGACGGGGACAGCGACAGCAAAGCCCGGGCAGAGCAGGGCATGGCCGAGCCCGAGCGCCGCGGGTGCCGAGAGCACCAGGCGCCCCGGGGTTTGTGTTCACCTGTACCTCACCCATAGCCATATACACAGCAGTGCATAGATTTTGCCTTTCTGTCCCGCAGACTTAGGAAAGGGGAGACGGGAAGGGGAGGCGCAGAGCGAGGATGGAGCCGGAGCTGGCGCTTTGCAGCAGGCGGCGACCGGGGTTGCGGCGAGTCTGCGGGGCGCCGGGCAGGGAACCCCGCACCTTGCGCCTTCCAAGGGGACCCAACCGGACCCAAGGGACCGGCTGCGGCGCAGAGGCGCCCGACGAGGCGGGCAGAGACGCTGCTTCGGGGGGGACGCCCAGCGTTGCTGCCCGCGCACGGCTCACGCAGCTGGACACCAAAAAGGTGGGTTTTTTTCGACGTGAAGGGAGCAAATAAACCACCAACGAGGCTTTATTATCATCATCATTATCATCGCCATTCTCTTTGCACATAAATAAATAAATAAATATCTCCCGCGGGGAAGTGGGGGGTTAACAGGGACAGGAGGATACAAGCACAGCCATGCGCCCGAAATTGCCGAGGGCAAAACCAAACCAAGAGCTTTCAGGGCCAAAAAAAAAAAAAAGAAGAAAGAAAAAAGAAATTAATACTGATAAACATTAATACTGATAACCACCACCCTCCCCATCCATCCGCTTTCTCCCTCCTCCGCGTTGCCGGAGGGAGCCCCGGAGCAGCCGCCGGGCCGTCCGCCCCCGCGCAGCATCCGCGCCGTCCTCCGCGCCGGGCCGGGGCGCGCCGGGCCTGCTTCTCGGGGAGACTGGGGAGCCGGCGAGCACTACTGAGTGCCCAGGGCCCTAGGGAGCAGTTTATTTACAACAGGGCTCACAGACACCTGCCCTCGGGGCCGGGGGTCTAGAAAGGCGAGAAAGTCCTTGTTAAATTACACAGATTATAGAAAAAGAGTATAAAATCCTTGCAGTGCAGGTCGGCACTGGAGCAGGCTCCTCGTTCTGCTCTTGCACAGTCCCCGCGGAGCCGGTGTCCGGCGGGCAGGGGCTAGGGGCTGACTGCGAGGCCTCTGTCGTCCTTCCCGGAGGAGGATGGGGACATGCGCAAGTCCTCGTCGTCCTCCGAGCACTTCGTGCTGGAAAGGGACGAGCATTTGCAACTGTGGCCAGGGCCCCCACCTCGATGCGAGCTGCTTTTGCCTTCCTTCTTGTGCTTGACGCGGCGGTTCTGGAACCAGATCTTCACCTGCTTCTCGGAGAGGTTCAGGTAGGTGGCGATCTCGATTCGCCGCAGCCGGGAGAGGTACATGTTGGAGGCGAACTCCCTCTCCAGCTCCAGGAGCTGCGTGCTCGTGAAGGCGGTGCGCATCCGCTTGCTGCTCGGCAGCTGGCTGGACGTGCTGTCTGCGGAGCGGAGCGGCGCTCAGCACCGGCCCCGGCCCGCTCGGGACCCCCACCCGGCACCCCCGCCCGGTTCCTCGGTGGCTGCATCCCGCCCAGCCTCCCCCGGCCTGCGCCAGGGCTGTCCCCTACCCGAAGGGAGAGGAGCCAGGACGTCCCGTCGATGTTGCGGGGCGCAGGGACCCACCTCCCAAAGCGCCCTGCAGGGACCCCTCTAATCCCTCCCTCGGGTCTCCAAGGCCCCCGCACCTCACGTGTGTCCGGGCTTACCCACGGAGATGCAGTGGAACTGCCGGGGGTCGGGCAGCGGGTAGGCGCCCTGGTAGAGCGCCGGTGCGTGCCCCACGCCGACGGCCGAGACAGGGTGCTGCTGCCGGGCCAGGGGCGGGGGGCAGTACGGCGAGCCGAACGGCGGGAAGGAGGCCTTGAGCAGGGGGATGGCGGGCGGCGGCGGGTGCAGCTGCGAGGCGGTGCCACAGAGCGGGCAGACGCAGAGCAGCCCGGCCTTGCGCGCCGTGCAGGCGGCGGCGGGCAGCGCGGGGGGGGCCGGTGATCGGGACCACCAGCACCGGCATTTCTCTGACAGATTGGCCTCTGGGATCCAGA